TAAACAATGACTGCTATCGCATCGGCGGCATAATGCCACGGGCGTAAGTAATCGATAAACGACAACCCGCCTCAAACGAAATCTCCACCTTTCACCCCGGCACGGCAGCGTACGTACGTTCGAATTCCCCCGTTACACACATACCGTATAATCACGCGTTTTCACAAATTCCACCGACGACGAACAACGACAACGACGCGGTAGCACCCCACGCTAATTCTACAGCGATTAGCGTACGCCCAGTGCAACAGCACTTCCGCCGTGGAGGCGGGGAGGGTGCATAGCTCAGTGGTCATTAGTACACACCCCCACCCACACGCGCACGCGCACACGCATACGCGCACGCACACACACACACACACACACACACACACACACACACACACACACACACACACACACACACACACACACACACNGAACGAGAAAGAGAGAGAGAGAGAGAAAGATAGAAGGTGGGAAAGTAATGCTAATGGCCTCAATCAAGGCTATATTTAGCCGAAAATACGCCGGCACTAATGTTTTTGTCGCAACAGTCTGCCTCTGTTCCATTAGGCCATGTGGGCTTTCTATAACTACTTGCAGGAGCTAATAATGACAAATCTGTCATTATTAGCTCCTGCTACTTGCTATACTACGGAAAGCTGGAGCTTTCTTAGCGGACCGTTAGTGCGTTAACGATGTAACGACGCAACGATGTAACGATGTAACGATGTAACGATGTAACGACGCAACGATGTAACGATATAACGATGTAACGATGTAACGATGTAACGATGTAACGATGTAGCGATGTAACGATGTAACGATGTAACGATGTAACGATGTAACGATGTAACGATGTAACGACGCAACGATGTAACGATGTAACGATGTAACGATGTAACGATCTAACGACGCAGCGATGTAACGATGTAACGTCAGAGCGACGTAACGATGCCAGAGCATAAATGCGCGTGGTGTAATTGTAAATTCAATATAAAGGTGAATTAACACGGCTTTTCCGATATTACATCGTTACATCGTTACATCGTTACATCGTTACATCGTTAGATCGTTACATCGTTACATCGTTACATCGTTACATCATTACATCGTTACGACGCTACGACGTTACATTGTTACATCGTTACATCGTTACGACGTTACGACGTTACATCGTTACGTCGTTACATCGTTACATCGTTACAACTTTACGACGTTACATCATTACATCGTTACGACGTTACGACGTTACATTGTTACATCGTTACATCGTTACAACGTTACGACGGTCCATCGTTACATCGTTACGTCGTTACATCGTTTACTTATTCACGTGTAGGCACGCACACACACACACACACACACACGCACGCATACGCGCACGCACACACACACACACACAACACACGCACGACACGCACACACACACACACACACACACACACACACAC